CCAGGTTCCACAGACACTTATGTAGTAACAGGACGCGTAAATTCCTGCAACAAACAAATTGGTTTGCAGGTGACGGTTATCGATTTTGACATCACCGTAACTGCTTCCGATAGTATGATTTGCCTGGGTCAATCTGTTACCTTAAAAGCCAGCGGAGCAACGAGCTATACCTTTAATCCCGGATCTTTCACAGGAAGTATGGTGGTTGTAAGTCCTACCACAGCTACTATTTATACTATCACGGCAAAAAAATCGAACAAGTGTCCTGAAGATACAACCTTACTTATTGAGATTGATGACTGCGCCATAGGAACAGGCATAACAAAACAAAATTTAAATTCAGAAATTAAAATTTATCCAAATCCCTCGCAAGGAAGTTTTTACATAGATCAGGAAATTATGAATCAAAAAATAGAAGTCGTAAACGCTATAGGACAGGTGCTCCTAAGCCAAACACTCACAGAAAAACTAAGCGAAATAAAAACCGACAATTGGCCTAAGGGGATTTATTTTGTGAAAGTGTATTATAGTAACAACGACTTCAAAACATTAAAGATTTGCTTAGAGTAAAGCCGATTGAGATGTCAGGGAAGACACCTTGAACATAATAGGTTGGAGGTTTGTCACTTAAACTAAGCAAAGCTTTGTTTCTATGTTTTCTTTTAGCCATTAAGTCTTTTTCTATGCCTCTCTATGCCTCTATGTCTTTCATTTAGAAACTTTATATACAGCTTCCTACCGTTAACGAATTCCGTTCATAAAACCGATAATCTCATCATACCGTTTATTCGATGGATTATAAAACTGAGCGATCATCGGCACATGTTTCTTCTTTTTAATAAGAAGAAGTTTAGCCTCCGGCTGCAAAGGCTTAAGAGCCTCTAAAAAAGTATTGCTATATTTTTTTATAGCCGGATAGGTGCGATTACCCACGTAAGTCAGAAACGGTGGCGACTGTTTATCCAGAAAATAAATGGGCGATCCTTTTTTCCACAGCACAGGATCTTTCGTGAATGCGGGAAAATAAATACTGTCCTCCGCGTTTTGCGAATTCTTTAAATACGAATACATATCCAGACCAAAGGCATCAATCAATACAACACCTTTAACCGGATTTTTAATTCCTTCCTTTTTAAAATATTCGTGGTCTGTAGCGATGAGAGCACTAAGATGTCCTCCCGAAGAATGTCCCGATAAAAAAATGCGGCTACTATCACCGCCATAGTTTGAAATATTTTCCTGCACCCACTTAAGCGCTTTTGCAGCATCCTGGCTCATGCCTCTAAAGTCTGTTACAGCGCTTAACCTGTAATCAATGACAACTGTCACAATCCCTTTTCTTGCAAAACCTTTTCCAAAAAATTTATAAGTTTTCTTTTTGCCAG